CGACCTAGGTGTAGATTGACCAACAAGTGCTACCAAGCGCAGCTGGGCTGCCGTAGTCCTTTCGCTTAGAGGAAGCTTGGATTAGGTCGGTGACTTTCGTTAAATACTAAGAGGTAGCGGATCGCAATCCACTTACTCCAAGAGAAACTACAACCATAACCCAAGGCTAATTAACTCATCCGTTTCAAATGTAACATGTATTTCCCGGTTTTATTTGCGGCATAGCCGACCATATCAAATCTATAGGGTTTTCAATCGACATAGTAAAACCTAATTAAATGCATAACCACTGGCCACGTACTGACATCTTGTTTAAGTGTAGCCTCGTCATACCATCTTGTGTAACCCACACAACTTTGTGATCATACCATCTTGTTTGGCCCACATCCTTTATACAAGAGCACGTGAAACCCAGTTACTCTCGTGACGTTCCAATTAGACTCTTCCAAGTTAGTAGTGAAACTTATTGTCGAAGATGACGAGATTGTCAAAGTTCTCGACCTCTGCCGAAAGTCTCAAACGGAAATTTGACACTTCAATAAGACTCTTCGTCGCAAGACGCACAAATATAGTATCCAAGTTCGTATCTTCAATGCCCTTGCGAAATTCTCAAAATAGTCATCTATATAATGCTAGACGCTGCTGAATCATCTAAGACTTTACGTGACTTCACAAAGGCCAGTCCGTTGATGTTTATAACCAGCAATTTTGGGCTCTGAAATCCTTCCTCTTTATCATAGCTGATTAATGTAGTTCGGGATCATATGTCCTTACTCTTGATTTGGTCCAAAAGAATTTTGTTTCGCGCAGTAAATTGTGTTGCAGTTCGACGCGACGAGTCCGTTGGTCGATAAAAAAAACTTAGACGCTTAGAATAGGGGATAGGCAAAGGCTTAGAGCCTAATACTGCACTAATTTAACAACTAAGAAAATAAACGCTCTCAAAAAATCAATCTTCTCGGCATGGCTGAGAACGTAGCCGCTGGCGTGCTCTAAAAATTTAAACACTTGTACTCAAACGGGCCCTCACGGCACGAAAGATGTGCTCAGAATTTAGTTATTTACCCACCGCGTCATTGAAAAAGGAAGGTTGAATGTAGAAGGCTTTGGTGCTTACACGGAAACCCTTCATGAAGATGTTAGCAATTATCGACCATCTGAGATATCAAGGTTCTTATTTCCTCGGAGCAGTCTGCTTGCTTTCGCCCACCCTCACGAGTGGAAAAGCATTTCAGGTGCACGCAGCACCCCTGCAAACAAGCGCGGCATCTGTCGCCAAAAACTTACCACCTTTTGAAGGTCCCTTCTACAGAGGTATTTTACGTTGTACCCATGTTGCGCGTGGCCTTCAAGTGCAAAAATCGCCTGCGCGATGCCCTGTAGCCCCGTTTAGGGTGCGTATTTGATTCCCACCACAGCTCCTTGTCCACCAGACTTCAGTCCACACAATACAGTTCCTATCATCAACTGTTCATTTTTCGTTTGTGCCTGATCACGTATTTGGGATAAAAAATGATGCTTATAAGTGAAGCAAGCTCAAGTGCTGCCTTCTAGACTACTTTAGTGGATGCTGTTGTCGGCAAGCTTAACACTAGCGAGATGTGGAAAACCGCGGCAATTATAATGAGCATCATGTACAGGATGCTTGTTAGTGCACAGACCAGAACCTCCCTATAATATTCTGTTAAGCTGAAAGACCTTTCATGCGACTTGGCATGGGTGATTGCTTCACAAGCTTTAACATTCTTGAACTCTGATAGCTGAACCGGATCCCTAATACCTTGAAATTTCAGCTGTCAAGTTACGTATTTACCGCACTTCCTAACAAGTTTACTTGATGGTGGGATAGCAGTTTGGGTCTCACAGTGTATTAGCGCATCGACACATTCTGGAGCAAATTTAATCTAGACTTCTAAAACAACAATTTATTCGTTTCCTCGCTTCCGGTCTTCGTCGAATTGAATGTTTTAAATTCAAATCGAATGTTCGAGTTACCTTGGCACACCTTATTTCTCACACGGCGACACCATTGCCTGTTCTCGAGGCAGAAATTGAAAGACGAAGCCGTCCCTGGCCAAAACCTGACCATCTTAACATGCCCTTAATCGTATTCAGCGATCGATAATGACGCTGCAGAGATGCTCCAATAGCCTGCAACATGTACATGCTGGGCTGACTTATAATTGGCTTGCTAACGTGAAATCGGTCAAATCAGCATACTCATGATAATGCTTAGATGGCCTCTTCTTATGCTCTATATTTTCTTCCAACAAAAATCTTAGATTGCTATGTTGCGATACAAAGCCGCTCAAAGGAGCTTGTCACGCTTCAAACAAGACACACCCGCATGATTAAAGTCTATTGCTGTATGAGGAAAACGTGGTTGGGACCTGATAGACTGACTTTGCGTTAAAAAATCGTACCGAGTAACGGTTGACCTTACATCAAAACGTGGACGTCTCACAAAGTATTAGTGGCTACGAACCATAGCTCTGCGAAGTTCGACTACCAAGAACTTCAATGGAAATGGAGCTATCCTTACTTGGCTGAAAAATATCGGGTGCACATTGCGAATAAGCTCGTGGCATCATTCCAAACACTTCGATCAGCAAATGTCAACTTGCTTGCTCAAAATGACATTTCCTTATGTGCCTTAATATCATCTTTGCTGTATACCAAAGTCTCTCGTAAGCCTGTGATTGCAGTAATCACCTTGAATTTCGCACGAATTCGAAGCAGGTCCTGCACAATATCCTCGTCCACTAGATTCTGCCCAAAGTAATTGCACCTTTCAAATTATGTATATCCTCTTTGACATGTACGCTCACCTTAAGCTCAAAATTTTCTAACAACATTCCAAATGACGCTATTGATTTGGCCGCGCGAAGTCTAAATGAATCGATTGATTTATGTCCGTCAGTTGGCAAAGCTGTTGGTAATACTAACGTACGGTATTTTGTTCTTGAGCTCCTCATTCTGCAGCATGTGATTCCATATCAAGTAGCACCCCTGATAGAAACCCAGCTCACTGCCAATTTCCGCGCCCTTCATTATCCTTCAATACAGTACAAGCTAAGCGTATGAAGGCAACATTAACACTTGAAGCGTACGTACCCCAGCTCGTGGCCTTCCAGAATACCCTGCTCACGTCCATGCTCCATGCCAATAGCCTCACCTTGAGCAACCAGCTGTTCTTCGTAGCCCGAGATTGCATCGAACACGTCCGTGATGTTCATAGCTCAAATACAGTCCACTTACATACACCAAGTCGATGGTCGAAATTATACATTAGTCAATTTTCATCCAACTAATAGCTAGCTTGCAAAATAAAATAGTTTACTATGAAAGCACTGTGGCAATGAGATAATATAATTACCATTAGACTAAAAAAATTAAAGTACAACAACATCCACGAAAGCCCTCATTGCAGACCAGAGTGAATCTATATCTTCTGTATTTCCGCAGTGGCAGTCGTAAGAGGCTGTTGAGTTTTGATAAAGCGGCCTTTGACGCGTGGGCGCGCATTTGCTAGTTCCTTGCGCACACCATAGCGTACTTTATGCTGGGACAATCTGCGTGCGCGCTTGACCATGTACTTTTGCAGTAACTCGCGACGCGCTGTAGGAGTATAAATGCCGATCATTTTAACAGGCTCTGTCATGTAATTAGCGCGCAGTGGTTTCATATTGTGTGATAGGTTCTTCACATTCGTGTGTCTCTTCTCAATCGCATCATTGGCTTTCTTCGACGAAAGCTCGAGAGACGCAGCCTTATTTTCTGCGTTGTCAAGGCTATTCGTCGTGTAGCCACCAAAATGGTCTGATATGTCCCCACTCATGCCCTGCCATTCCAAAACTACGCTCAGAAACAATTCCTGGGGACTCAGATGTGAAAGCGAACGTGGTTCAATTTCCAACAGCTGACCGCGCATCTTCTCGACCACATCACTTTTCAACCAGCGAGTGCTCTTGACATCTGATTGATGAAGTATTGGTAGTGATAACTCCACTTTCCGACTACGTTTTTTTGACACCAGCATTTTCATGCTCAGTGTTTCTTTGGAAATGCGGAAAAATGACGAAGTTTCCCATCCTGTTACAAACCTCCATATTTTGATACGTTCTTTTGTTGAAGTCCATCACAACTTACCACGAATACTACTTTCAAAAAGGCGAATTTTCAAGTATTTCAAAATATTTAAGTGGTCGTAAATGGTGCTGTGCTACAGTCGCAGGCTATTCATCAGATTCAACCAGCTTCGTAATCTTACCACACGCCATGCTTCCGTAAGTAGTAGACTAGGTATCTTGAAATAGAATATATGGCGGTAGTACACAAAGAAGAGAAGCAAATTAGAACATACTGCAGAGATCATTTTCTCAATTCTGTTGATCTAAAACTTGAAACCTTATTCAAAAATTGCGAATGAAAAATCAGGACAGGAGCTTTGGCTTTATACATCAATTACGTAAGCATCATCAAAAATTTTGTACATCTAGCCGTTTGCTTTGTAATTGTAAGAGAAATATGCAATTTTTTCATAACTTGTATGTCAACAGTTATTTCAATGATAAAGCAACACCCAACATTATGTAGTATAGCTACTTCACATACTGTATATTGAAGTAAGATGAAACGCTAAGGAAGTTTGACAGAATCCATGCTGACAGTTTCCATGCCACCAAATCGAATGGAGTGGATCAAAAGACAAGTCGGAAAGAAATGGATTGATGGCCAGTAGGCATAACACTCAGAAAAAATGCAACTACTAGTTTTTCCATCACAGTTATACACCTTGTTCTAATTACTGCATGATATTACGTACCGCAACTTTGTAGACCTTTATATATTAATACATGCAGCACGGATTAAATCAATAGTCTAACAATGAGTAGCGATAGTAACACGCAGTTAGGTGGCAAGGTGGTGGTTATCACGGGTGCCTCAGGCGGTATTGGCGCTGGTGTGTAAGCAACCTGCAACTGCAAGTGTAGCTTGTACTAAAAATATTCTCGATACTTTCCGCAGCCATCGCATTGGAGCTAGCAAAGGCAGGTGCTAAGATCGCGCTGGGGGCTCGAAGGCTTGAAGCTTTAGAGACGGTCAAGACGACTATTGAACAGAAAACTGGAATCAACGACAGTATCCTCGTCGTTCAGACTGATGTCACAAAACGCCAGGAGGTTGAAAATTTAGTGTCAAAAGCAGAGCAGACCTTTGGAGCTATCGACATTCTTGTTAACAACGGTATTAAGACAATCAGAGCCGCCTCGATGCTCTACTGATGCTTATATTGTCTACAGCTGGTGTGATGCCCTTTGAGCTCTTGAAAAATGTTAACCAGGACAGTTGGGAACGGGTGCGTTGACCTTATTATCGTTGATCCTTATTTACGAGTTCTTACGACTTGGCGTATGTAGACAATCGACGTCAACTGCAAGGGGACGCTTAATGGTGTAGCCGCAGTATTACCAAAGATGTTGGCTCGAAAGAGTGGTCATATTGTCAATATATCATCCGATGCTGGACGCAAGGTATTTCCTGGTTTGGGAGTTTACTCGGCATCCAAAATGTTTATCGAAGGTATTTCGCAAGCTTTGCGTCTTGAAAACATTGGTAGTGGCCTCCGTGTAACTTCGATCCAGGTATGCATTTCAAATTTGTGTTTGGATGGACTAAATTTATCGAAATATGTTTATTGCAGCCTGGTAATGTCGCAACGGATCTCGTAATGCATGCTAATACTTCAAGTCGTGTGGATGAAGAGGCGATGAAGCTCTATGGTAAACCTTCGGGTAAGTACACTTTTTATTAATATTCTTGTACGATCCCTAACAAATATCGAGGATTTACTGTTTTAAAGAGTTCGAGATCCTTCAATCCCAAGATATTGGTCGAGCCGTGCTGTACGCTGTCACGCAACCGCCACACGTCGCAATCAATGAAATCTTAGTGGAACCACGAGATGAACCCATATAAAGACATTAATTGGTCAGGTCAGTGTTACATCACACCTCTAACCCATGCAAAAGATTTTCCAGCTCGTCTTCCATTTGTTGAGCCGCGTATTGTAAAACGCTTGTATCATATAAAGATGCTCTAATTTCATTGTGCTCATCGCTTTGTTCGTCGCTATCTTGGCCGAAAGCGCACAGACACGCAATGGGAAGACCGCGCACGCACACGCTGATACCTATAAAAAAGCGTATCCGCAAATGTTGCACCATTGGAATCTCGCGTGTGCGCGAGTCCACAAGGCAATCCAGTACCACCCAAGGCTGATACCGAGGCTGACATAGAACGAAATCGCACAGTGACTCACGCCGTAGTATTTCATCCTGTGGTAAGAGATCGCGAGTTCCGACTGCGTGTTCAATCAAAATGTATTCATCGTCTACTCGAGCAATGAAGGCGGCTTTGACGCCAAAGGCAACTGCAGCTAGCTCACAGCTTCGATGCATAAGGGTCCGATCCACCAAGGTGCAAGCAGGGGAGATAATTACTTCCATAAGCTTAAGTCGCTCTTCTTCTCGATGACCTTCTAGCTTAGGTAAAAAGTAGTTCTCATCAGCAATCAGATCCTGGTCCAGCAAACCAAGATTAGAACTCATCATTGACGTTCGTCGGTAATCGAATCTTCCCATATATTGATCCTCTTGCTCTTTTGAGTCCATTTGAAGGCAAGATGATAAAAACGATCGATCAGCAGAGCTGCAACTACTTGATTCGGCATTAAGTCGAATGGGCTGAACCATTTTTTCCAACTTTGATGTCATGGCCACTGGATGTAAGAACGATCTCGATACTTCTATTCCAGACCGAGGCTGGCCATATCCAGCGTGAGTATCTTCAATACCACTGAGGTTTTCACTCTCCCAACTAAAAACATCAATACTTAGTTTGGCGCTGTTGACTTCATACTCTTGACATGACCGAATATCCGCCTTATTTGGCGTCTTGCGCAACGATATCTTAGCACTACGTGCAATAGACTTAATCGATATAATCTTACTGTTAATAGAAGGAGTAACATGACTTGGTAGTGCTCCAATGTAGCCACCACTCTCGACACAATTGAATCCAAGAGCGTCCTCGCTTGCTTTGCACTCTTGACTCGTCGAAGCATCTAATGGCGCTGGCATGATCAGTTCATGACCACCTACGATTTTCAAGCTTGCAGGTAGATCCTGCATTAAATTTTCACCCTCTAAATGAAAACCTGACTCACGAGGTGGCGGTTTCCATTTAGACAGCGAAACATGAGTATCGTCTTTATTGGTTTGGTCGGAAACTCCGTGCGTGTTAGCCTGATAGCGAGTCTTATTATGACAGAGATGGCACATGCGAGTCTTATTGACCTCTTTTAACTTCGTATTAACGATACTTGCGCTGCGCAACGAACTGCACGAGCCGCAAATGACTTCTCCACATAGTCGACAGTGATGACGTCGACGAAAAATAGCATTAAACCGTTTCCAGCAAATGACACAGTAAGCGCGTTCCTCATTCTTCACCCAATGGTGCGGTGAAACAAACTTATAAACGCCAACTCTGGAAGCAGCCACGGCCAGCTCAAATCTACCAACAGAACAGAGTGCTAAACGCCGCGCGATGGCTCGAGCTCCTCTTGGTGAACAAGACAAAGGACCATCATTCTCATCGTGATATGAGCTCGTCACGCACGAAAGACGCAGCCGATTGGACGAAACTTCTTCCACAATCAGTGTATACTGTAAATCGACCTGGTGTGCCGTCTCCAGCATAACGTCATGCGACTGAGGAATTGGTAGCCAACTAAACGCAATAGTACGCTTATGGACTTCATCGGATGGACGCGCACTTAATCCAGCCAGAGATGACGCCACGGATGTAGACACTGTACCCTCACTTGTATGTTGTCGCTGATTCTCGGGCAAAAAAATCTTAAGTGTTTGGAAAAAGGTCAAGTGTTGTTCACGCAGCAAGACGGACTTGCGATGGTCTTGATACACGATAGAGACTGCTGCATGTTGCGTGTCTACGGTCCAGTCGCTTGTCGAGTTCTCCTTTGTCCGCATTGAATGTAAAGTACCGTCTTTAAAGTCGCGACCGTGTAATAGCTTCATCATTAAACGAAATTGCGCTGTCGAATCAAAATGGAGAAGATTAAAGGCTTCGTCAAAGCCACAAGATGCCTCGTTGACAGCAAGATAGTAAACAGAGGAGCCATTATTAACTCCTTGGGAAATACGCTTGGCATAAAGTTCTTGATGTTTGTCGCGACGTAAACATGTCCATTGTTCTTTCCTTCGTGTGGAATTCAAACATACGCCGAGTACATCTGTGATCTGCCTCATTGCACGGTGATGCATCTTGCGAGTTTGCATGCGATCGTGCAATAGATGTACAGACGTTGACATAATCCCGCGAGTTGTGGTCTTATTGTTCTCTTTCCTTGTGAGCTTCTTCATGCTACGTCAAATGGTCGTAGATGACAAAATAGATTGAGGATTAGGAACAAGTTCAGTTGCCGTCAGTAGAACTTTTCACCGCAAAACTGATTACAAGATCAAGATGCTTAGAATATTTAATAATAATCCATGTGGAAAGTGTAGGAGATTTATGGCTACATCTATTGTGTCAATATTTGTTTGGATTGCGGGTGGCAGAGATGACTGTCTCACCGAATAGTTACATTTTATTTTTATGTACGGCGTATTCTGCAGCAACATAAGGCAGCTTCATAGCCGGAATAGACATGTGGCTTATTACTGCGACTAAGCATAATCTTTTCTTATCACTTACCATATTTTGTCTCTCTCAAAATGCATTTATTTGTACTGAAATTGTGCCACAAATACCAAAAATCAATTCTATTTATATTACTGCTATATTTCATCAGTCCAACGCCTTAACTTACTATCAAACCTGTTTTGTACTTTCTGCTGAAGTAGTGGCAACCCACCCATCATCTGAGTGATTGCCCCTAAATATTTAATTATTGTACTGAGTGCAACGATGGGTCTTGAGACAAGACGACTGACCTATCGCAAAATATTCGACATAGATGGCGATATCGCGGAAACCCACCTGTCCACAAATTTAAACCACGTCTGACCGCGATCTGTTGTTTCCATCGAGAATAAACAACAAATAGGTCTAGGGCACCAAGTTAACATCAGAATAAAGCTTAAATTATTTTTTAATTTCATGTAATTTGGCTATGTGTCAATGAGGTTTCATACTCGCCTCAAATTAAAATTACTAGGATAATGGATTCAGAGAATGAGTTGGTGTACGATTTAGAATGATGGAACTCTAGAGTGCGATCCAAACAAGCAGCTTAGCAAATAATGTTATTGGGTGCATGACCACCAGACATTTTACTAGGTGCTTGCTAAGTAAATGCGAGAATTAATCAATATTTTTACACATATTTCAGGCAACCTTGGTACGCACCGTTAAGACCACGTTATTGAGGCGCTTGACCAGAACATTATATCGACTAGTTCGCCTTTTACGGCGTATTGTCGTCGAAGTAATCTTTAACGCTCAATGTGCATGGTGGACGAAGAAACTGTAGCGACGGCGCAGTAGAGGTGCTGTCAGACAGTGGAGCAAGATACGGACTAGCCGTTCGATCCGTCATAGTTACCGCAGCATCTTCTTGGATAGAGCGATTGATTTGCTCAGTGCTTTAAATATGTCTGAGGTACAAAGTTGCTGCGTACTTTTGAAATTGTACAATATTGTTATATATTCCACGCAAGTGTATTCTAAGTTGTATTAATCAAAACTAGACTTCATCTCGAACAATTGGATGGTGAGTTTTAGTCTCTTGAGATGCTTTAGCTTTCGCTATTGAATGGAGCGTACAAACCCATCCTCCGTGTGTTGACTCGTTGCGACGCTTCCTCTGTTAGAATAACTCCATCTGTAACGGGGTTACACGTACCCTTGAAAGAAAGGGCAGATTGTGCGACCGTACATAGGTGTGCATTACACAAGTTAGTTTAATCTCACAGTAATGTGGCTACACCGTAACAAGAGTAATGCACACTAATATATTAATTAGAAAACCTAGGGTTTTAGATATTAGCGGCTCTGCCGCAACTAATACAATAAAATACAATTTTAATTTGAACGGAAGTGCTCGTTTGCCTTAGCTAAGGTTTTAAGTACTTGGAGGTAGCGAATCGCAATCCGCTACCCTCGTACTGGTTCTTGGAAAGAACGTAAGGTCGGTAATCTAATCTTAGCTTCCTCTAAGCTGTAACGGGGTTACATGAGAGTGACCCGTCACTCTCCCAAGGGAGCTGTGGTGTGGCACACCACATTACTAGATGGGTACATGGCTTGAGAGTCATGTAATAAGAAAACATTAAGGAACACCTATAAATATATTCAGTCTTAAAACTACCTAAATTTGGTGATGGGTACATGGTCATGTAATAGGAAAACATTAAGGAACACCTATAAATATATTCAGTCTTAAATCTACCTAAATTTGGTTAACGTGTCCTCGGACCAAGGATCTGTGAACTGCCGTTCACTTAGAGTTTGTATACTTCTGGAAGTCAAGCTTCCTCTGTGCAAGGTGCCGTGTGACCCGTCACATAAGCAAAGAGCCACGACAGCCCCGTTGCACTTGGTAGCATTTGTAGTTAATCAACGCCTGGTTGTTACGACTGATCTTCTACGAGGATCAGGAAATTCTTCTTTATCCCCAGGGCATGCAAGACGGGCTTAATAAGCTGATCTCCCTGCTGGGCCCTGAGGGCGTAGAGCACATTGTTCCGAAAGGGCCCGAGGCTGTAAGCGCACGCCTAGAGGCGTTTTCAGATTATGAAAATGCTCGGTTAGAGTACTTACAGTATAAGGTGTTAGCGTCGACAGCGTCTATGACGCCACCGTCGACGACGGTCGTTTCCTTCCGACCCAGACTGCTTATGGTGAGCGTTTGGACCTTCGAAGGTAAGGATGGAGAAAATCTCCTGATCTGGAAAAGAGATGCCGATATGGCTATGGTATCCGCCATGCTCTAAAACGAGCAACAGGGCGAGGCGCGAGCTGTCTCTAAGTAATGGGCCAATGCACCCCACGTTACTGGAAGGAGCTGAAGCGTCAGCTTCTGCGAGTGTTCAGCCGCAATCAGGCATATCGCGTGAGATCGCGTTTTCTTGCTGCCCGACAGGGCAAGAAGGAGTTGGTGGACTTGTCCAAGAGTTAAGAACAATCGTTACAGATATTAATTTTAGATCCTCTCCCGAGGTGGTCGCAGTGACCGTCTTTATGGAGGGCCTCCACACTGGCGTTGCCAGAATGAAATTCTTTCGTGTGCATCCGTTCTCCTTTGAAGAAGCGGTGAGCGTGGCATTTTTAAGGCTCAACATAACATAGTCTTAGATTCGGATGCAAGGTATGACCTTATCCTTGGTATGGCGTCCTCGGAACCCCATGAGCCATGGATTGATTGGAGGTCGAAGACATTGGGCGAAATGCGCACATCTCCTGGTGGAGCTTTGGTGAATCATGAACATACTCTGCTAGAATGAAGAAGTTCTATTGGCGCGGGCAATAGACCAGGACAGTCAATGTGCTGAATATCGAAGTATCCGAGTTGTCAAACACCAAAGGCGTTCTGGACAGAAGTCCAGAGCGTGGATCGCGGGCTATACGTGGAGTGGCACGTAACCCAATGAGCACTGTTCAAGTATTAGAGTAGTTGCTGTATGCTAAGAGTGGCGTGGTGGGCCAAGGGCCGAGGCATCATTGGCGAGGCCCTTGTGATGCACGTGGAGTGGCACGTAACCCACTAAGCACTGCTCATATTACGAAGCAGTTGCTGCATACCAAGTTTTGATATTTGATTTAAACGATTAATTATCAAAAAAAAAAAATTAAATGGCGGAGGTCCGACGCATCCAGGGTGAGGCCCTTGTGATGCACGTGGAGTGACACGTAATCCACTGAGCACTGCATACGTTTCGAAGCAGTTGCTGCATGCCAAGAAAGGCATGATTGGATGAGGTCCAAGGTATCCCGGGCATTGCCCTTCTGATGCGCGTGGAGTGGCACGTGATCCACTGGACGAAAACTGCGGAAATAGCAGCTCTTCGTCGGATGTTGTTAATAACATCAAAGCTCCGGTGCAGCAGGGAGTGATGACACTGGACGACGCCGATTGTAGGTTCCCGCTGTCTCAATGAGACGTTAAGCCTCTATAGAGTGGGGAACGCGAAGCCGTATGTTATTTGCAAGACGCAGAGCGTCAAACCTGACCCAGGGCGTGTCTATCGTAGATGATAGCGCACAGCTATATACCGTTTGACGGGAGAGAAAGCGGCGTCGTCATCCTCGATGCTATTCTCGCGGTGGGTGCTCTTCTTGAGCTGGACAAGATGTCCTTCCAAGAGTTTAAAGGTACCTTGAAGACAAGCAATTTAGCCGAGGTAGTCATTATAAGACTGAACGAGGAGACTAACTCTTTATCGCTTCTGGAGGGAGCTCAGAGGGTGCTCAACGCACGAAGTGGATAGTTAAATATGAAGGATCCCTCAGATCCGTGTTATTCTTTGGTAAAGGAACTCCAAGATGTCGTCTCCGGAGACCCGCCGTCGGTCCTACCTCCGGACTGAGGTGTGCGTCATGAGATTGACCTGGTTCCGGGAACCA